CTGAAAAATACATGTTTAAAATGCATGATTAAATATAAAATACTTACAACAAAGTAGCACTGTATTTATAATTATATACATTTATAGATATATTTAAAATATATTTATAATTGAACAGTATAAAAGAAAGATACTTTCAGAACTATGTCAGCAACGTATGCCCACAAGTGATTATTGCAAAGGTAGCCAGGTTCAGTGCAGCAGCAATCTAGGGGAACTACTCAACCAGAAGATCAAAATATAAAATGCTTCAGTTCTCCCAGGTATACTTTGTAAAATTGGAGTAATAAAATGGTGGGTGACAGTATGCAGCTGTGCTCAAATCTAGGCAGAGCCCAGAAAAATTGCTTCTTCAGTCTCCAACTTCCAGTATCTCTAACCCAGCAGGGCCACTCGATTACAGCAGTAGCCATCCATGCCATCATATTTCTGATTTTTGTGCATGGCTGTGAAGAACTGGGGAGTGAAGTCAGCCTTATAGGAAGAAAATTAACTCGTCTAAAATGTGGTGCCTGGAGCAGAATTGTGCACATACTATGTACTGCTGGAAATACAAATAAGTGGTTTCAAGAGCAAATTAAGTCTGAACCTAGAAGGTAAGAAGACAACCTGACAGCATTGTACTTTAACCATATAATGAGAAGATATGAATCATTACAAAAGACATCGAGACAATAAGGGCAGTAGGAAAAGAGGAAAGCCACATTACAGGTTGATAGAGTCAAGGTGCTGTTACACTGACAATATAATGAAGCTTGGAAGCAGTTTCGCTACAGGATGATTAGATTGACAGGACTAGAACCAATTTGCAGGGTTCCCCCCATTTCCATTTTCAAGAGACACCCCTGACAGATGGCCATCCAGCATCTGTTTAAAAGCCTCCAAATCTGGAGCCTCCACCACACTCCAGGGCAGAGAGTTCCGCAGCTGAACAGCTCTCACAATTAGGAAATTCCTAATGTTCAGGTGGAATCTCCTTTCCTGTAGTTTGAAGCCATTGTTCCACATCCTAGTCTCCAGGACAGCAGAAGACAAGCTTGCTCCCTCCTCCCTATGACTTCCCCTCACACATTTATACATCATGTCTCCTCTCAGCTTTCTCTTCTGAAGGCTAAACATGCCCAGCTCTTTAAGCCACTCCTCATAGGCCATGTTCTCCAGACCCTTGATTATTTTAGTCACCCTCCTCAAGACACATTCCAGCTTGTCAATATCTCCCTTCAATTGTGGTGCACAAAATAGGGCACAGTATTCCAGGTGTGGACTGACTAAGGCAGAATCGATAAGAGTGGATAGATAAGGCAGATAAGAGAGGAAGTAATCAATTACCGCTCCCAAATTAGTTTCCTGGTGCCTAGCCATGCCCTTGGGCCATTTTTGTCCAGCAGCCCTTTTGGATTCTTTACTGCACTTCACTAGAGACAGATGTCTACAATGTACTCTGCATGTTGTATGCCGAATTCTTCTTGGATCTGCAATGCACTGAGGTCTGCTTCAATGCATTGTTGACAGAAAACAGACTTCCTTGAGATTTTTTAAAAATGTGTGGTATACCTTTGTTGCAGCATGCATTGGTGGTGACCTTTTATTGCTACTGTAGCCTTGAGTTAGTTTTGAATTGCATTGTATGGCCAATGCAGAAGTGCCCTCAATCAAGGAAGCAAAGGTCCTGGAGTTTGAAAAACCTGAGCAGGATTGTTGATAACGTTCTTGCTGATGTGTTCCTTCAAATCACTTACGGTGAACCTATCACAGGGTTCATCTCAAATCCATGTCAACTGAACAGTAATCAACAAGTTTAATAAAAAATAATTTGTCAAAGGGCCATACCTAAAAAGGATATCAATGGGTCAGTTATTGCTGTAAAAAGTAGATTTTTTTACTCCTTCCAAATAATTTATTTATTTATCGTATCAGAAGCAAACCAAGGGTACAGTTTTAATGTATTCAAAAACACAAAGCTTAAAAAACTTGGCATGATATTACATTTCCTTTGACCAATAGCTGGCCACTTGGGAGTGCCTCTGTCGTTGCTATAAGGAGGTCCTCCGTTGTGCATGGGGCAGGGATGAGATTGCATTGTAATAGGTGGTCTGTGGTTTGCTCTTTTCCACACTCACATGTTGTGGACTCCACTTTGTGGCCCCATTTCTTAAGGTTGGCTCTGCATCTCGTGGTGCCAGAGCGCAGTCTGTTCAGCGCCTTCCAGGTTGCCCAGTCTTCTGTGTGCCCAGGGGGGAGTCTCTCATTTGGTATCAGCCATGAGCTGAGGTTCCGGGTTTTTGCCTGCCACTTTTGGACTCTTGCTTGCTGAAGTGTTCCTGCAAGTATCTCCGTCATTTTTACAAAACTATTTTTTGATTTAAGGTGTTGGCGTACTGGCTGATATCCTAATAATAAGATCACTACATTTAGGGACTGACTAAGGTTTGCACATTGTTCAGATATAGCTTCAAGAGCTTCTGTCTGCATTCCATTTTGTCAGGAGGTTTGAACACATGCTGCTCTATTGATTTTTAGATTTGCTGCAAAGTATGCCCAAGTCTTTAAAATTGGGAAGGCGAATACATTTTAAATATACAATACTTGCATATGTATTTATTGCTTTGAACATTTGTCCACATCCGGAATGGCCTTTGGGAATTTCTGGGTGACTGCAAACGTAGCTAGCCCAGCTTCCTGCCCATGTCCCCTGTTGATCTTTCCGGCTTCATTAATTTAATCTCAGCAAACATACACATTGATTGCCAATACCCTAATGAAAACGGAAAGATATCTGACCTAAAGCCGTGGAGACAGAAGAAGGTGGGAGGAAGGGGGAAAGTAAGCTATGGTATCTTAATGGCATGTATGAGCTATCAATTCCAACCCCCAAGGCTACCGTTATTTCCTTTTAAATAATGTTTTTGTACCTCTATTTTTCGCAATATACCATGCCCTCTAGGTATAGAAGTCAACATTTACAAGTGGGAATCAATACTACTAGTGGTGATCTTTCCAACCTCTTAACCCCCAACCAGCCTCAGATAGCAATTCTTCTTCAGTGAACCAGATAGCCACCATGGGCTATTATAACAGACACATCGGTCAATAGCGTAATTGGCCCAAATATAAATCACAGCAGGTTTCCTGGGGTACTTTTCCATCCCTAGGGCTTATAGAAAGTCAGTCTACCCATACTCATAAATTACTTACCAAAGCTCTACCCTAGTTGAGTATAGCCTGACAGAGAGGTAAGTTATTGCAAGATGCCATACGTAATAACCATGTTTAATGAAAAACTATTTTCTCTTTCATAAAACTATAAAACTTGAGGTTATCTGGAGATTCTCTTCTGATGGTGTCACACATTTCTGCAATCTGATTCAAAGTTATTTAGTGCAGGATGGTTAGTATGGTGGCACCTACCACAGAATACTCTTTCTCCTGGGAGAAGTCATGCTCCAACAATTCTTATTTTTCAGTGCATGTTGGAAAACTTACCTGCTTTGCAAGCCTTCTCAGTTTCACCTACCATATCTATTTTATGGACACTTTAAATGCTGTGTGTGTGACCAAGTCACCTGTTGACTTATTGCGATCCCATGAGTTTCATACAGTCTTGGCTTTTATGTCTTATTATATCATATAGGCTATCACTCATGTGATTGTCTTCCAAGGG